TTTACGCTCTTATTCATCATCAACGGATGACTAATCCATGTAAAATAAAGTTCAAGCTGATGATCACCTAAAGGGTGGAGGTGGAACTCAGAGTCAGAGTTGTGAACAACTAACATTCCTCTCTCTCTCTCTCTCTCTCTCTCTCTCTCTCTCTCTCTCTCTCTCTCTCTCTCTCTCTCTCTCTTCTGCAAATAAAATACAATGTAGAAGATATAGGAATCTACTACATTGTAGTACATAGTCAACTGCATTGTGTAAGAGTAATACTAGAATTCTCACTCTCCAATACTCTCTAATACTCTCTAATACTCTCTTGTACTCTCTAATACTCTCTAATACTCTCTAATACTATCTAATACTCTCCAATACTCTCTTATACTCTCTAATACTCTCTAATAGTTACTAGTATATCAGCGTGGCTATGTGGCTGCTCCAACATACCCTCGCCTAAGGCTCCCTGTAGCGACTGGTACAAAATAGTGCACAGGATTAGAAGAAAGTTCCAGTCCTTGCTGCTGCCCATCATCCTTCCGAACAACAATCATCCACCTCCGCTAGGACATCCACCTCCGCTAGGACTCAGCTAGGAGCGAGCATGTGTCATTGAACGAACCGTACGCTAGTACTATTAGAAGCTCAAATCTGTCAAAATACTGAAATAGCCAGCATCCCCCAGCCTCACACGAGAACGGTCTCGTGGCTATCCACGGCGGTAGTCGGCTAGTAAGCGCTGCAAGTAGATAGCAGAGGCGACGCAGGATCACTGACGACAATCTTCACAGAGGCTTTTTGCCTTTGGTCAAACTACAAACAAAGCGTAGATCTATCTACCTCTAGCTTTCTCGTGCTGAGCTGAGCTCACAACGACACAAGTCAAGGCTGGCACTGACTTGGCACTGGCAGCTTTTTGCCTTTTTGTTGTTGAGTAGATTTACGTTGTCGAGTGCGGAGTAGATCTAGCATCTTCAGTGGTGCATGTTTTGGTTTATGTGCGGCTTTTTCAGCCTTTGTGCAGTACTACTGCAAGTCCATCCCAGCGCGCGAACGCTGGAAGCAGATCTCATTCATAAACCTACCGGTATCGACGTCATCAGTGCAGTGTGTCACTGACTCACTGTGTCACTCTAGCTCTACACTACATCATATCAGTGGCAGTGTACAGCTGTGCCAACTGTCATTATCTGGCAACTGAAATCCGACACACTGGCAGCTTGGTGGCGCGCCGCGCGGCCAGGGGGTCGGATTTCAGTTGCCAGCACTGTACTACTAGTAGTACATGTACTCAGTTGGTTTGGTTTGGTTTGGTTTTTGGTTTGGTTTTTATTATTTCAGTTCGTTGCCTCAACAGTACAAAGTACAAATATCAAGAGGGACGAACGAAAAGAGAAAATAAAACAGAGCAGAGAGGAAGATGCAACTGAAAGGAAAGAAAAACGCCTCAGGAGTCAGTACTACTACATTTGTACTAGTAGACTCAACTAGGCCCTACCTAGGCTAGGGTCCAGCGGATAATGCTCCGAAAACTTTTGTTCCTACAAGTACAAATGCTCCAAAAACTATCCGATGATACTGTAATTTTATTATAACGACTCTTTAAGGGTCGCAAATAATTGTAACGCCTGCACGCATGTTGTTGTTGATTTTATTTTGCTTCGCAAGGCCAAACGGGCAATGGTGCCCAATTCTATGGAAGCGAATTTCAAAAGGGAGAGAGCGACGGGGAGAGAGAGAGAGAGAGAGAGAGAGAGAGAGAGAGAGAGAGAGAGAGAGAGAGAGAGAGAGAGAGAGAGAGAGAGAGAGAGAGAGAGAGAGAGAGAGAGAGAGAGAGAGAGAGAGAGAGAGAGAGAGAGAGAGAGAGAGAGAGAGAGAGAGAGAGAGAGAGAGAGAGAGAGAGAGAGAGAGAGAGAGAGAGAGAGAGAGAGAGAGAGAGAGAGAGAGGGGGAGGGAGGGAGGGAGGGAGATGATAAGCAATTTTGTAGCGTCAACAGAGCGATTTTGCAGTGTCAATAGAGCGATTTCGCATGCGTGATTGTCCAAAGTCCATAGCCACGGTCAACCATGGTCAACGCGGAGAACATCCTGCAGGCTTCAGACATATCCGCACATACCTGTATCCCATATGTGGCCCTTACACTTACAGCCTCAACAAAACGTATTATAACGAAGAAATGTCACCCGTTAAAACGTTAGATTGCTTCCTCGTTATATTTACATGTCTTACAAGCTACAATAGTAAAGAAAAAAGGACCAAGAAACTACAAGACTTGAAGTTACCGCGGCTATAATGTCCGCTAACACCACCAGTTACTGAACAATCAGCTCATGCGATAACATGGCACAACACTGACCGATGGTACTGACGTTCTTCAACTAACTGGCTAACACTAGTAACAGCTCTAGCAAATCTAGGATGCGCACTCCAACAGCCTTCCAACTATTGCTTGGAAGGTTCTAAGTTATAGGAGGGGAAGGCGAGCGCAACAAAGACAAGCACGAGCTGAAAGTCTCAGCTGTGAAGGACGTTGGCGGATGTTCATGCATGTCGATGACGGTACTGGCAAGACCACTGGACAATACGGTCAAACCACGATTCAAGGACGCAAAGCAACGTTCCACACAACTGGTGTGGCTCAAAGATGCGAAGATCAATAAAAGGGAAGCTATATATTTAATTTATCCTTGGCTCTCCATCCGTGTCTTACAATACATAGTCATTGTATAAGTCAGTCATTGTATAAATGCTGATTACAAGTATATTGCTTCAACAAGGCCGGCCAGGGGCTATAATATGCTCTTGGTTCAGCTGGAAAGGAAGAAAGGCTGCACAATCACAAGTCATATTCAATCTGCTGCTGAAGCCGCCACAATATTTCCCGCCAGCTCCACCACATTTCAAAGGCCTACTGTATAGTATAAGACATAATCGATTTTTCCAATGGCTGCATGCTCTCCACTGCAATGTCGATGCAGGGCAATGGCTGCGTAGTGGGTGTACCCGCAAATCCTTTCCTGACATTACACAGGGAGTGAGAGGTGTGAACCGTGTCCATGGTGTCAGGAGGGATCATTAGAATGAATTTTATTGTGGCAAGTGGTAGTCCTGCCAGCAGACAATTTGTCACTGCGTGAACCTGTCACTGCGTTGACTCTGTGAATAGTCTCTTCGTCCGAAACCGCAGATATTAGGTCAGTTCCTGCAAGTCGAGCTCGGATCAAGGTCCCTTCCATTTGCGGTAAGCCTAAAAAGTATTGCCAGATTATGTTGCCGCTCCACTTCCTTTGCTTGTGCAGTCTTCTTCTCCTTGTGGTATTTTGTAGGCAACGGAATGGTCACAAGTGCAAGTCCTCTCTGTTGATAGCACTAGACTGCAGTCTTGCGTGTACAGCTGTCGACATCTATGGAGGAGACGCGAAGTGAACATCGAACAGTCGAAGTGGTGTTTTCTCGTTGTTCCTCAGGGTCTGACGATAGCGTCTTTAGGCTAGTAGCGATACTGATTTATATGTAGACACCGATCCTTTGCTGAAGGAGCAGCTACAATAACATGCATGTGTAAGCATATCTTTTAAAGTGCTATTTTGGCAATGCTCTGACCGCCAAAGTGCAGGTTATAAGGACTTGCTTGCTACCTTGTTAATCACCATTGTATTCGACTTGAAAAGTAATGGTACGAAGGGCCTAGTCGAAACTATAATTATGGCTTCTGTGCTTCGTGTGCTGGTATAAGCATACAGAGATACAATCATGCACATGTAGTTCTGACTAACTGCCTTTGCTGAGTCCAGCTGAGCTGAGTCGAAAAGAACTACAATAGTCGTGGATTCAGTACCAAGTCGATAAGAGTACTCTGCAGCAGTGGGTGTCTGAGTTTCTTGCTCAAACACGTCCAGTTACATGTACATGACATTGTAGATGTGGACAGCTTAGTCTTAGATGTGGACGATCCGAGCTCGACTTCAACGCAGTGACAAGTAATTCACACAGTGACAAATTGTCTGCTGGCAGGACTACCACTTGCCACAATAAACCCAATGATCCCTAACATGGTTTACATCTCTCACTCCCTGGATAATGTCGGGAAAGGATTTGATACACCCACTATTCAGCCATACATGTAGCCGCCCTGCATCGAAATTGCAGTGGAGAGCAGCCTCTGGAGAATTGATTATGTCAGCAGATTGAATATGTGCAGCCTTTCTTCCTTTTTGACCCGAACCAAAACGCAAAAGCAATAGTTGAAGCATTTGTTTTAGAGCGGATTGAGAGAACTTCATAAAGTAAAAGGATCAGTCGGGGAAGTGAACTGCCTGAAAAAATGCCAAACCCACCAGGAGTCGGCCATTCAAAAAGAGGCTGAGCGGACTAAAAGTTTACAAGTTTTCCGTTGTTTGTCCAACACTAATATAACAACTACAAGCACCAGGCAGGCACAGTGGGTTGGTCAAAGACCATGATTGAGATACGAGAGGTACCTGGTTCAAGTCCTGCCTGGGAGCGGTTTTTCCAGCCGTGCTGCTACCCACAGACAGTCAACTGGGAACTTGTGGCCAGGCACAAGGGTACATGGATGCAGCTAATGGGGTCGTTCTCGGCACTTGTGCCAGTGGCAGTGGTTGTGAGACTTATCCACTCACCCCCACCGTTAGGCGCTGCATCTGCCGCTAGGGTTTACCGGGTGTTAGCGACCGTCGTGAGTTCCCTTCGAGAACGGACACGATAATTTACTTTACTTTTTAAGTTTTTACAGTACAAGCAGTTGAATGTCAGTATCACATCAGCCCCTCAGTGTTGTGTTACACACACACACGTTCTGATGCACCAGTATCCTGCTTACAATAATAACAATAATAGTGTAGGACAAATAACGAATAATTTGTAAACTTTTGATCCTCTCTTCTTCTTCTTCTCTTTTTCCTCATACAGATACTGTAGCAACACCCGGACATGACACATTGTCAGCCAGGAAAATACATAAGGAGAGTCACACGTACATGTAGATCTACGTACGACCAGCTACATGTACGTAACGCTTGCAGAGGCAAATCAAACACTGACAGTGCTAGACTGCTGCAGTGCTGCTATATTATCAGTGATACATGTAAAATAAGTACTTTGTACATGCGGGTGGTACATGTACATGTATGTCATTGTACATCAGCACTACAGACGCTCGTAATCGTATAAAGGTCGAGTCGGTGCCTAGTGCCAGACTGCCAGTGGCGCCAGTGCATGCAGTGCAGTAGTGTGAGCGGTCTTCCCGTAACTAACGACGTTACTTGTCACTTCTAAGTCTCGCGTCTAGTCCAATTCATTCCCAACTCATCACAACCACGCGCTCTTCAGCCGAACCATACAGACACCAGCAAGGACACTTAAGGTGGCTCCTACCCCTCGGGTCCAAATTTTTTTTGTTTGAAACGTGGCTACAAACGATTGTACTTTGTTCCGTAGGATATCTAGTGTACGGAGACAAAATTTTATCAAGTTCTACCGGCCAGTTTCACTCGGGGGAGGGGCCAAACATAGCATACTCACAATTGCCAATTTAGGCAAAAAAACACCGGAAAACCACTTTTTTGGCCGTAGCACTCGTAGTTACCCCGTTTTTCTTGATGTCCAACATCAGGACAGTAGTATACTTGCTAAATACCAGCATAAGATTTAGAAGTGGGTAGAATTCTGCTAGAAGGTGACCTTTTTCTCTTTTCGGAATCATCCCATTTCAGCGCACACGTCCCACATATTAGCCCCGCCCACAAGTATTTGACACTGGACTTGCCCTGTATTCGATGGTTATGCTATCATAACCTAACAATGGTATTGTGTAGCAAGTTTGAGCAGGTTCTACCGAAGGTAACTCTTGAAATAAAACTTTCAAGTGTCAAGTGATGCCATATTTTCAAGAATCAGCACATTGCACTGGGACATTGTCCAACGCCTTAGAACCCCTGACTCCACCATATGACAGATACGTATCTTGCAATAATTGATTGCAACATCTTCCGAACATAGTAGTAGAGCTTTGGATCAAGTTTTAGCAGTTTCCACCGAAGCTAACTACCAAAATAAAACTTTGAAGTCGCCCACATACAAAATGCAATAGCTGAGCATGTGCATTGAGTGTATGGTCTAAAGGTTTTCACAACTAGCTCCAATGCGGCAGATACGTGTCTTACATTACTTGATTGCAACATCTTCAGAACATAGTAGAGCTTTGGATCAAGTTTAGACAGTTTCTACCGAAGCTAACTAAATAGAACTTTGAAGTCGCCCACATACTAAATGCCATACATGTAGCTGAGCATGTGTATTGAGTGCACATGTATGCTCTAGTGTTTTTCACAACTTTCTCCAACATGAAGCCGATACTGATGTGGAATTTTGTGACTGCTTTGTCCAAAACACAGTGCTGAAGCAATGCACATTGGGCACTTTCTACTGGTAATGTAATTATTATTATACAGTGTTTGCTGCCAACATAGCAAGCAATACTGCTATACTAAATGCGTATTCCATTGGGTACGGTCCAATGACTTTTCACTTCGCATCTAGCCACTGTTCTTCGTGCATTTCTTGAATGCTTAGTCTCCGTGGTAATGAAGCTAAGAGCCACACTGGAGAAGTTTCTACTGAAGCTAACTATCAAAAATATAAAATTTCCAAGATGCTACTATTACATAAAGTAGCTGTGTGCAATGCCACTCTGTTGAACACAGTAAGCAAAATTGAGTCACTAAAACCCTATTTGCCAGATATAAGCTGTTGAGACTGATAGCAGCTGAGCTGTATGATCTGATATGGATGGCGGTTCCACACTGACCAGCACATGTACACGTGCACAGGCAGAAGAACATACAAGTAATATACCTAACGTTACTTCGAAGTCCATCATGTAAATACAAGCATATATACAAGCATCACTCCTGTTCTCCACAACCTGCAGTCCTGGGCCACTCCAGCTGGTCAGAGTGCAATAATTTCTGCAGCAGGCTTGACTTGGAAAGCTAATCACAACTGCCATGGCTGCAACATGAGTATTACCAGCGCGTTTACAGCGCTACTTGTATTATATTATTGTCAATCCATTGTGGTGTATGGCACTCGTTTTCAACAATCGAGTTTATGTCATTAGTTGCATATCCAGTGGCGTGCACCGAGTCTTGAAAGGGGGGTTTCCAGAGTTGGTAAATTTTTATCTGGAGACCTACTGTATAATCATGATTTGTGCACATGCACATCCCCCGAAAATCCCGTCCGTGATAACGGTGAGGGCTAGGGAGGAGAGGGGGGGGGCTCAAGATCAGTGGTGCAGGGCACCAATGGACTCTGGTGATGATGAGATGTGGGGCTCCTCCGACCGCTAAGTATCATGCCGGCACAAACGCGTCTGAAAGGGAACCAGGTCCAGGGGTAGAAAGGACAGAAATAAGAGTAATGAGGAGGGTACGATGTTACATGGAAATGTTGGCATAACCGGTAGCAGGATAAAACGGGTTACCTTTTACATACCAGCAGTTATTTGTAAAGAGGGTGCAAAAGTCAATGACTTGTACATATTATGACTGTACATGTTTGTTATTATTGAACACGAAAAGTTTGATAGGCCTAGCCGCCCAGGCTACACTACAGTCTATAACAGGTATACTTCACTAGTCCACTCCAGGCATGTTCATTTTCATCTAAACACTGCTTTCATTCGACGGTATCTTTCTTTCTGTTCTTATGACGAAGTTTTCAAGATGTATTGGCAATATTCCACATGATTCAATCAAGAGTTATAGACCTTGCTTCGATGGAAACTTGCGGAAGAAAAGCGAAGCCCCGCGTCCTTGAATTGCGGCCGGAGCAGCGCTTTGTTCTGAAGCAGCGCAAGTGGATCATGGACGCACATTTTTACGTCTTCCAGTCGACAACGGTTTTGACGAACATCTCTGCTGCGCACATGAGCGAGAACGAAAGGCTGTCATATTCATTTGAGTCAACAGTTTGGAAGGAGATATCGTCAATCATATCCTTGAACAGACTTGCATCACGCGTGCTTGACTCAAATTTCGAGACAAAACGGATTTCTTGAACGTCGTCGCCAATCAAGGAGCGGACCAGAGCTAGAGATTAATCTCTCTGCCGCTACTCTCCACTGAAGAAAGAGAGAATAATGTATTTTGAACTGCATGCAAAGCAACTCTCTCTCACTTCGAAATAAGGACATAGTCACTGTACTGTAAACTGCCGGCCCGTCGATCGACGCGTAGATCTACGTATGCACGATAACCAATCCAGTGGGCACACTTTTCCTTTGGCAAGATTGCCCGAAAAAAGGTGGTTTCCAGACACCAAAAAACTCATACGGTGCACGCGCCTGATATCCAACGCCAATAAAAAAAAGAAGGGGTGGGGCAAATTACCACGGTTCAACACTAGCCATATTGAACGGCGTTATGCCATGCCAGGCGCGCACACAAAATGCCCGCGCGAGTGCGCATGCATGTACACACCCGGGTAACACACATCCGTGCGACTTTACATAGCCTGCACTGTCGTTCTATGTCATAGGAGTGAGTGCACACACATATGTACATGTAGATTGTCTAATTTTGCATACGTAATAAAATTGTGTAAGTATACACACATGTGCGTGCACATATAGATAGACTCAGCGGCATACGCACGAGTGTGTGCCGATAGGGCCACATGCCAATTATCGGATTAGTCTGTGAAAGTTGCACGGCACGACAAACTTTCGGACAGTCTAAAGATATGACACAATGAATATGGAATACCCACCAGTGTGTAAGACGATTTCATACCTATTTCGCAGCGTTTGTGATTTTCGGAGCGTCCCTGTTGATATTTGATGTCCTCACTAGGTTGATGACACAGTCACAAATTATCAAATTCACCTCCAATGCCATCCAATCTGCGTTCCGCGATACATGTACAGTGAACGGTGTTGAGGAAAGCCATGCAGCAATAAAATAGTCGAGACTCCCAAGCAGAGGATACAATTCAACAGCGTATTGAAGTACGAATTGTTGTAAACAATTTTCAAGACACAATTACAAAATTTGAAGTGCGTCTTGAAACGTGTTTGAAGTGCTTCGATGTATTTACCTTCGATCTCCCTGAATCGATCCATCCACAGCTACCCGACGAATTTACCAGTCAGTGCGGGAGATGATCGAGCAAGTTATATTTGAAGGTCGCGAGATGTCAGTGGCACTGGCAGGAAATCTACACAAGCGTATTCTGAAATAATTTTCTAAGACTCAGGCGTGATTCAAGAGCGGACTTTGATTTCTCCCTTCTTATAGTACGAGCACCAGTCGACATTGCATTCTTGGAAAATCTTCTGCGAGTGCTGCCTTCCCCTTTCATAGAAAGAACGAGTGAAGAGGGACACTAGCAGCAGGTTCTAGCTAGGTCGCCAGCAGAAAAGCGAGAAGACGTTTCCTACAACGATTGATCGCACAAAAATCATCGCTACCGAAAAATTTACTGAATATCTACACTTTTCAAACGATGCGCGCGCAGAGGGTGTGAGCCACCTTAACGTACTTCCGTTGAGAGATAATATTGCTCCACGCCTCTAGACAGCTGTTTCGCTCCCTGTCGGAGCTCATCAGTAGAGGATAATAATGATGATAATGGAGGAATGATCATTCTTATACACCAGAAATGGCGCAAATGCGCGCTTTCCACATATATCAATTGAAAAAATAAAGGACCGTGCTTATAGAGATACTAGACATGGTTAACATTTTACCGTTCACGCTATTTTCGGCGGTAGGCCTGCACCGTTTTTTGTGTGTGTAGACATGCCATTTTACAGTTCACGCGCTAGATCCAACGGTACTCGTACCCCAAACCCAAAATACCGTCGGTTTGGTACCGTTTCGACGATAGAAAGCTCTTTTTAGCGGGAGAACGAAACGGTAAGATTCTAACTAGGGTTACCTCACACGTCTATCGTTGCGTCAGGAATCAGGACTCAGAAGCCGAACTGCTAACCGTGTCTCGAAAACAGTAGACTCGCCCTCTAGTAGCTCTACACGCCGACCGTCGAAATAGCGTGAACGGTAAAATGCTAACCATGTCTAATACGGTAATAAAATCTCGGTAGATCCACTTGCAAGGCGTGAAGCAGCACTGCCCGAGCGCCCGCGGCCAGATGGTCCTGATGACGGTATGTCGGTATCCGCTTCTTCCTTCCGCTCCCTGTCCGCCCGGCTAGGCTAGCGACTGTAGCGTCTGTCGATGACTTTCACGACTTCCTGGTTTCAACGTTCACAGTTTCAGCGCAAAGCATTTTTTCTAAGAATCTCACTTGGCATGAAGTAAACATCGCTATTACAATTGTATACTATACAAGTCATGGTATAGGACACATCCTACACGTATACACGTACCCACCCAGCAAAGAAGCAGTGTAGAGTTGAGTGAGTTACAGGACAGGTCATCGAAAACAGGAGAGTTAGTGATATTTGATCGGACTGTGAACGGACGAAAAGGAATGAGTCTTCGAGGGTCGAATGCGACTTCGCATAGAAAATGAGATCTTTGTAGCCGAGTGCTATCGCTGTAATTATTTTGTCTGTATGCTTCGAATTCAGTTCTGTTTGATGACAAGACCGGTGTACGTCAAAAGGTGCAGGCGTGTGGCGTGACGCTTTCCTCTACTGTGCTGCCAGCAATATGCCTTTTGGGGCCCTGAACCTATCCGATAACCAAGTATTATGATCGGAGCGAAAGACTGTTTTTGTGGTTGACCTGACTCATGAGCTGTTGCAGGAAGTCACTTCTCGCTCAGGCATACGATAGTCGCTGGACAGAGAGCGAACCTCTATCGAACCGGACATGACCACGGCCGCTACCGCGAAGGCTCGCTGGTCGTGCTGTTCATGTCAGGGTGAATTGGACGAAGCCAAGGTGTTGCCGTGTCTTCACTCCGTCTGCGCCACTTGCCTAGCACTGTCCAGGCAGAACGATGGATCGCTGTTCTGCGGCGAGTGCAAGACCTCTATCAGTGCTGAGCAGCTGGACAGGCTGAAGTTCGACTACTTGGCCAGGGACCAGTTCGTCCTGCGACAGCTGGCTAGCAGTGATGTGGAGAAGGCGTTTGCTTGCGAGGCGTGTGCAGGACCGGAAGTGGCCAGTGCCAAATGCCTGGACTGCAATCAGTTCCTGTGCGAGGTTCATCAGCGCGCGCACGCAAGCAGCAAAGCAGCACATTCGCACAAGATAATGACCGTCACCGACCTGCATTCCAGTCTGCAAGCGGCGCTGGCGGGGGACGACGGCAGTGATCACGGCGAAAACACGGACGACCTTTCTCAGCTCGCTCTCGTGCGAAGCGACACATTACTGTGTGCCCAGCATGATGCAATCGAGTTGTGGCTGTACTGCAAGAACTGCAGCGAGTTTGTGTGCAGGGACTGCATCAATGCCGAGCACAAGTCTCACGAACATACTTTCCCCGAGGATGTCCTCGACGAGGCGATCGCCCTGCGGCAGGACATTGGTGATTGCGAGCAGGCGCTACCAATGCTGGCTGATCTGCAGGATATTGTCAACTCATCGATGCAAGTGCTGGTCTCCAATGTCAACAGGATAGCGCAGGAAAGCCTTGAGAATGCAATTGGAGACGCCACGCGGCTGGTGGAGTGCCGCGCTCGACAGTTGCACACGGATCTCATCGGCATGTACGACAGTAAACTCAAGGCACTGGACAAGCAAGCCAACAAGCTTGCCTCCCTGATCGAGCAGCTGGACTATGCTGCCGAGTTCGTCAAGTCTGCCGTGCGCCACTGCACGCCAACGCAATGCCTGGCCCTGAAGGGCACGGCGGACGCTCACATGACCCGTCTTCTGGACGTGGCCAACCATTTGTGGAAACCACCGGACAAATATGGGGAGTTGCGCATAGAGTTTGGCTTGTTTGCTTTGCCAATGGCCCAGAAGATTGTGAAGCAGCTAGGAGAGGTGTCATCTACAACAGAGTTTGAACCACAATGGCTTATTGTCAAGAGCACGTGCTACACGGTCGAGACGGTTACCGTTAAAGTTGTCCTGGACAACGATACAGAGCAGAGCACTGCAGATACCGACGCTGACGCCTCTGCTGTTTGCGATGCGTGCTGCATGGTCGTCGGGCCTGACAGTCGGCCACAGGACGTGAGACTTCTGGACAGGGCGGACGGCGCGGCGAGTGCCGCCGAGTTTGCCTTTGTGCCTGACTCGGGCCCAGGCGTATACTATGTAAGTGTGGTAGTTGCCGGTGAGCCGATCCACCGGGCCACGGCTACAATCACGGCACTGCTGGCACCATGGACATTCCGCTACCGAGCCAAGTCGTATGTACTGCAGGAGGAAGGTAATGACGACGCGGTCAAGATCTCCAGCTGCGGCCGACATATCCACTGTGAAGATGAATCGCCACAACAATGTGATGACGACTGTGCTCCTCCACACCACAGCTTGCGGTCTTTGAGCTGCTGGCATTTGACCAAGCCCTACAGAGTCATCATTGCGGACACCGAGATCCAGAAATCCGCCACTGAAGGTTGGAAATGGCAGCTGAGAATAGAGAGACAAAAGGCGTGTGTCGGGCGGCCCGTAGATGATCAGCCGGCATTTGGTGTTGGCATGCTAGTCAACGTGACGCAGCAAGACATCATGGATCCGACCTTACTGGAGCACACACCTGAGGCCCCGTTTCAGCTGAACACGGCCATCTGTTTCTCCACGGGCATGGCTTGCTGCAGCCTGTCCCAGTGCCTGATGGTCAGTGGAAAACCTGGCGCTTGCGGCGATGGCGGCCAAACGACGCCGTGGCCAGAAGAAGCTGCTTTCCAATTTCAAAATGGCGGCAACGTAAGCATGGAGTACTGCTTTGAGCACGATTTCCTCATCATATCTCACAGCAATCAGGATGTGAAGTGTATCATTGATCTGGTTTCACGTACCATGCAACTAGTCCCGAGCACTGCAGACAATGCGCAGTACTTCATGATCACTCCTGATAGAGAACGCCTCCAGTCGAAGGTCGGCTACAAGTACGGCCGGGGCAGTCGCGGGTCAATGGCTATGCAGAGCTATGGGTGCATACTCTCCGTGCTACCCGTCGTATGGGTGGCAGCTGATTGTGTCTGTGATGTGCACCTAGACTTCTCACTGCCACAGGAAAGTGAGGGGAAAGGCACGTGAGCCGACGACAAGCCAGGTCATCACGGCTCTCAACCGCACCTCGCGGACTGAGATCCAATGATCAAACCTTTGCAAGCATCATGGTGATGCATATGAGAAGGCCGCAGTGGTGGAGACTGGACTGGAGATATCCTGTATATAGAGGCCCGCTGGATTGAGTGGACCGCTACTATGATCAGTGGCCGGGGTTGAATTGTGTCGGCCAGCCACTCAGGTTTGCTTTGCCGTCTAGAACGTTTGCTACGGTAGCTCCCCGAGTATGTTTGCTCTCAGTGACTCAATTGAACTCTTGCATGCATAGTGCCGCAAGCACCACTGTGATTACCTGCCTGCTGTCACGGTAACCCGGCAGTACGTGCCAGAGTGGATAATACTAGCATTTGCACTCATGGCCTTTTGCCAGCGTCAGGCCTGCACTCAGCGGATATCGTGACTCGGGCGTTTCTCAGTGTTGACTGTTCGTTCTATTTGCCTATTGTGTGAGTTGTGTCAATAATAATAATCAAAGTAGACTGGCCATTTTGCCAAGGTACATTGTTGAACTGATCTCGTGACCTGATGATATTTGGAAGCATCGCTGTACTTTGGTGCATGTGGAAAGAATTTTTAAAAGAAACATAATCGTATGATGCTACATCAACAATCATGATCCTGCTTGTGATGCTACATCAACAATCATGATCCTGCTTCCCTGACTTCAAAGTGTCACTGACTTGTCAAGTCCCGGGTCTTGTCATGGGCATATCAAGACTCAGCGGCCGGGAAAAGTAAAATGCATTTTAAAGCCGTGTTCTCGGCCCCGGCACCGTTCACTACACAATGCCGGATTTCGTGGTTTTGTTGGTCAGCCGGGGGAGATTGTGGAGGCCCAAACGAACCGGCCCACCACGACATAATCATAATGATCTACAATGATTACGCGCACACTTGTACATTGTATCCGGTGTAGCGCGAATGTGCGAACTTTACTTTACTCCACATGCTTGCTGGTACATGTACATGAGTGGCCAACCCAATCCGACCCGGGGTCAAAAGTAGCGCTGCGTTTCCATTTCAATTACATGCAGCATTGTTGTTGTTGTTGTTGAAATTTTATTTTGTATCGCAGACCAAACGGGCAATGGTGCCCAATATTATGATGGCATCAAAAGAAACATCATGCACGGACAGTAATGTCGGTGCAGAAGAAGGCTTCAAGAAGCCCATCCAGGGGCGCCTGGCCGCATGACCGTTGACCGTTGACCGTTGACGCCCATCGCCGGAGGCGATGATAGCAATGCTACGGCAGAAGCCATAGCAACTTGTCGCATGAGCTGGCTTGGCAACATTACTTGGTCGGCTGATTTCATTTTCGGCTCATGCCATGGGTCGGATTTCATGTACAGTACAGTACAGTGTGCATGACTGATTGACTGTACTCTTGACCTTGATGACGTCACATTGACGTGAGTGTCGTATGAAACGACGTCATACTTCACTGGCATTGTAACGGTTGCGTCATAGTACATGCTTCTGAGAAAATGATGATCTGTTTGTGTGTGATCGATCGTGAAGCAGGCTGCAACGCGCTGGACAGGTACAGGTGACAACAGACTACACTGTCATGTCGTGTTCTTGTTGAAGAGGACGACGTCGGCCAAAGGCAAAGTACACGATCTACATGCAGGAAGGGACCCAACAATGACAGCTCAGTCAGAGTAATGAGCTAATGCAGTAGAGGGCACTCGGAAAGTTTCGTCTCCTTCAGTGGGCTTCACGGCAGCGTTGGCCAGAAGCAAGTGGAAGCCAAGGTAGCTTACAAAATTTATAGTGTCTGTGTTAGGCTGTCGTTTGGACCATCGTCTTTGCTTCTAGCCATGGAGTCGGCTGACAGTATTCAGAACGTGGAACGACAGTGCAAGGTAACTCCGTAGAAATACCCATTGCCTTTTTTCTAAAAGACATCAAGCTGCAATGCCACAATGAAACTTTTTCTCTCGATTCCCACCGTAGATGGTGTACGAGCGCTGTGGGGTTTTCAAGCACATCGCCACAACGACTGGGGAAGAAACACAAGTTCCTGGAAGGCTAGTGCTGAAAGAAGTAGTAAGTGTGAGAATTCACCACGTTTAAATGACTGCCAGTCTCTACTTTTCTTGTCCTATTCTTCGAGTTTGTCTTCCACTTTCTCGAAGACAACCGTGCACACAACAAAGCACAACAAAGCACAACCGTGCACTGCAAACATGTGGAATATTAGTAACGTATCACACATCAGAACGCTGAAGAACTGAAATCACAGAATCCACAATACTAGTATCTGGACGAGTCAGTAGCAAAGCAACACAGCACAACAGCAGGAAAACAATATCACAAACATCACAGGTATAACAAATTACAGCAAGCCCATATGCAGATAGCCAAAGCAAGGCAGGACATACTGATGCTGTTACATGTATATGTACATGTACGAATACAGAAACTCAACATTTCTTTGAGCTTCATCTGCACACAGCAGTAGCATCTGTGGAGAGAGAGAGAGAGAGAGAGAGAGAGAGAGAGAGAGAGAGAGAGAGAGAGAGAGAGAGAGAGAGAGAGAGAGAGAGTGTGTGTGTGTGTGTGTGTGTGTGTGTGTGTGTGTGTATGTGTGTGTGTGTGTGTGTGTGTGTGTGTGTGTGTGTGTGTGTGTGTGTGTGTGTGTGTGTGTGTGTGTGTGTGTGCCTTCATCCCTAGTGCTATTGCAATAACTCACCGACACAGCAGTAGGGTCAACAGGTTTTTGGAAGGAATGCTCAGTGCACAGCTTGGCCACTTCCGTCCACACTTCAGGTTGCACTGTGGGTCATCCGCAGATAAAGAATTGTGGTATAATTGGGGAGTGGGCCAAGTGCCATTCACTATATCACTGAGTTGAAGAACATTTGTGCTTTGGAAAAAGAGTAACCCAATGCCGCAATGGACATGTACATGTAGGTATGCTCGCTAGGGGGGGGGGGGGGGGGGGGGGAAGTACAGTGAAACCTATCTAAGGTGACAACTCAAGGGACGAGAAAAAGTGGTCGCCGTGGCCAGGTGGTCTTCTTATCCAGGTTCAGTGGGTCACGTGACCATGTCCACATGTGATACTGTAGAGGCAGAAAATTTCGCCGGTCAATAATTTCGTCCAACTCCAAAGAAAGGGATTTCGTCCGATTGAAAATTTAGTCCATGGACTATAACAGTGTATTGAAACGCTGGACAAATCGACATTCGTCCGTCATTTAATTTAGTCCCAAAGCTCCTTGGACGAAAAAGACGAAATTAAATTCCAGACGAATATTTCTGCTTGTACAGTACATCATTTTGATCAGTGCATCACAGTGCACACACCTATGCTACTCTAGCACGGCTCATGTGCCTGGGGTCCTCAGACCTGTCAAATGTCGTGCATGCACCATGTACATCTACACTTCCTGCACTGATGTGTAGATCTACCATGCCTGGTGCACCATGCAATGCGTACATTTACATGACTAGCACTGTGCAACGCGGTCGCGGGTGGGTGGTCGTCGGTCGCGTTGAGCGAGTGGTCGCCTTGTCCGAGGTGTTTTGAATTTTAATGCGTCCGTGACAAGGAAAAGTGGTCGCCATATCCGAGTGGTCGCCATTACAGGTTTTACTGTATGGGGAGAAATAATTACAAAATTTCATTTTGAACATGTGTAGAGATTGTTAGATGAGCAATAATAATTATTATCTTTTGAGAAAAATATAATGGGATTAATGAGCAACGCAAGGCTTGACAAGCCTACCGCTCTTTCCAATCAACATCTCAGATTTCCACAAGCACTTTCATTGCTATTCAGGTAGATACAGGAAGATACACTTGTCACGCTCAGGCTGTTGGTAACTTTCCAAGGTTTCACCTTCTTCTCCGAGTACTATGATTGTGTATAGTCATGTATAGTGTAGTTGCTGCAGCTTATGTGTACCAGGGAGTAGTATTGTACTACTCCCTGATTTGTACGGCTTGTGCTGCATTGTCTGCGTACGTAAGGGGCCGTCCGGCGTTGCCAATTGTTTTTACAAAGCGGAGAGTTTTAGTATTTTTCAGCCCCACCCACCCACCCACCTTTCCTGCAGGTAAAACAAATTCGAATGAAATATTGATGTCAATTTTCGGCACCCGAAACAACTGGGCATTCTCAGTCTGCATTCAATGATTATTTTCAAAACGAATCTCCTATAACCCACCCACCCCCAAGCGAAAACTTTTTCGTTTTGTGAAAATTATTGGTAACCGTGGATGGCCCCTAACTACATGTACCCATTACCGCTTATATTTGGCAGGAGATCTCGGTTAATAATAGTCGCCGTCATCAAAATTTAATACTCTCAGTACCGATTTCATGTTGATTTGCAGTACTGTAAGACCAGTAATGTTCACGAACAATTAATTCTAACGATTTAACGAATTTAAAAGCACCGTTAACATTTGAAGCCGTTATGCACTAAGCGATATGTACATGTGCAGTCATTTGCCAGTTTTGAGACAGAATTCGTTAGAATTTCACCTCGCTAACCCAGGGAAATCCGGAGATCGTTAACTTTAAATCTGGTCTTACAGTTCCTAGTGTCCATTGTCTATGCAGGCCCTGTGCGTGTCATGATGAGAACGTTGAACTGTTTTCTCTTCAGGATGGTGAGGCGCAAGTCGACTGGATGCCCGTGAAACACATCGATTCTGCTGATGACGACGGAGGATGGGCTTTGGTTCGCCAAACATGTGAGTAGTGTGTAGTGGTGATAAGGTGATGCCTGGATCTAATAATATTGAATTCGCTTATAATGATAAATTGCACACTGGTAACACATTTGTTTTGCCTCGGTACAGTACAAAAGTTCAGGTTTGCAAACATGCACTGCTCATGCTTTGAGGCTAGCGTGGCCGCGTGCTGTGCAAGTACACCGCTCCCAGGGCCGGGTGTCAGTTGCTACCACTGTACAGGGAAATTGGCACTGTTTGAGTCTCAGTTGGTGTCAGCATCATTTCTCAGTGCTCAATTCACCAGAACTGACTGGTAGATTGAAGTCCCCGAAGGTATTGTTTCCGAAGGGCGTACTAATTATGGTGCATGCTTCAGTTTGTATGATAATACTATGTGTATACCCCCCCCCCCCCCCCCCCACTCACACACACACCCACAAGCTTATACATTTACACACACACACACACACGCACACACACACACACATACACCTCAGACCTCAGACCTCAGACGTGCCCATCGCGGAAGCGATGATAGCGAACAGCTATGTTAGGCATAGCAACTTGTGCTGGGATTACACCATTCAACAGCTTGCAAGGCTGATGAATTGACCGCCACTATTTTCTAGCCTGGTACACACATACACACACACACACACACACACACACACACACACACACACACACACACACACACACCTTGACCTTGACCTTTGACGCCCATCGCCGGAGGCGATGATAGCAATGCTACGGCAGAAGCCATAGCAACTTGTGCTGGGATTGCACCATTCAACAGCTTGCAAGGCTGAAGAATTGACCGTCACTATTCAGCCTGGTCTACACCATACAGCTATTTTTGAAGTGACTTTCTCTGGCCAGTGAATCCCTATTTTTGGTCTTTTCAATTTTTTTCCCGCACACACATCACACCACATACTCTGGCATGCACTGGCTGTTGGTAACCACCCAGGAGAATGAAAGGAAAGTCAGGAGAAGAGTCTGAGAAGAGAAGAAAGACGTGTATGACCATAATTGTCGGGAATCGAACCCGCAATCTATCGATTGGAAATCGCTGCACATACCACTGCACCATATGGGACACACACACACACACACACACACACACACACACACACACATGCACGCACATGCCGACTTGTACATGCAGTTGATTCTCTCTTCTGTTTTTCTCTTCATTGCAGCTGAGTTTGAAATCGATGAAGAGTACAAGCATCTGGCTGTTAACTTCAAGCTGAAAGATGTAGTGTCCGTGGGTCGTGCTGAGGCTGTAATGAAACTACCTTGCCTCACGTTTGAGTTCTCAGATGAACAAACACCATGGGAATCAATATACTTCCATTCCACGCAAACATCTGAATTCTGGCAGTGCCTCAACCGATACCTCATTCTGGCACGGTATGACTTGTGTGCATGTATGGGTTTTTTGTGTTTATATTAATAGCAAGAGTAAATTACCAAGAGTGTGCAACTCGACAATCCCACGGCCCATTGTGGTAATTTTACAGCAGTGTTTCGTCGCCATTTGACTCACTGACATCTTCGCGCGTAGCCAGGGATCAAAGTATTAAAAAAAACTGTATATCCTAGGTGTGGTAGCCAAAGCAGAACAACGGACGGTACATGCATGCGTCCTGAACCCGAAGAACTGACACCGTATCTAGAACACGAGCCCTGACAAGCAGACACACTTGATCATACTTCTGCCACGAAATGAAGCGATAAAAAAAGTCCAACGTTGGTGACCCCATCGCAGCTCGCAATAGAAGTTGCACACTCTTGCCTTGGTTGTGCACTCTTTGTAATAGCTGCGTTAGGGATTTGTGCCAAGTGCCAATTTCGCCGTCACAATCTCTCTGGGTATGTGAATGCGCTGCGATGGTTGTAATACCCAGGAAAGTCTGAATCACATCGCTGCCCGAATGCTTCCCGATCGTATAAGAAGCTACTTGGGCAGTATAGAAGAGAAATGGCTGTTAGGGGCAGTAGTAATTGAAGTTGCTTGCTTACAACGTTGACCTCATGCTTCTTACCTAGTGCGCTGATACTGTCTGACTCACGACTGCCACCCGTTGTGCACAAGGAGCACATTGAAGTTTCCACAGGGCGTAGCTGCTGTAAATCACCACTTCAATGCCCAGCATCCAGGAATTTTAGTAAATTCAACCCCTCATAAGTTGAACTCAAGTGGGCCAACGAAATTTGTGCTCCAAAGGCACTACATTTTATGATGCTCCAGCAGTGCAAACCTCACTAGGGACATACATTTACAGTGACCCTTTGTTTCCAGCCCGACAAACACCTGATGAGGCCCCAGGTAGCAGCGTGGGTCAGTGTCGCCAACGGAGTGGTAAGAAGCAATCGTTGACGGTGGTTGACCATTCACGAAACTGTAACCCCCTAAGTCTAGTCGCACGCAGGCACGAGAGACAATATCATGAAGAAATAATGGTCAGGATTGACAAGAAACATGACCCCTCATGGTGTGCTATCATAAAAAAAATTCAGAATTATTTGTAAAACTTTTCGCACTTGAATTGAACTTTTTGCATTGTACATGTAAACGCTTTCCTATACTGACATTTCCCCTGTATTGGTCTTCTCCATTGCTGCTACTGCCCGCTGTTGCTACTGCTGCTGCTGCTTTTGCTGCTGTTGCTGCTGTTGCTGCTGTTTTGCTGCTGCTGCTGTTGCTGCTGTTTTGCGTGTGCTGCTGCTGTTGCTGTTGGCTGCGATGGCATTGGTGATGGTGATTCGCTGTTGCTGCTGCAGGTCTCCATCAGAAGGTGGTGTGTATCGCGTTGAGGGAAGGACGGATGAGTTGACGAAGTCCTTGCACGGCCTGAACTTTAGTGCTGAGGAGAGTCAAGGAATTGTGTCTGTAAGTAGTCACTACTAGTCGACTCTAGAACTCGTAATAGTGTCCGTATAAGATCAAATGACATGCACTTTCAGGGTATACCTACAATACCTTCAGGAAAGAATGGATCTTGCGTTTTCTTGATTATTAGCCCTGGAAACTGGAACCTTTCTAATGGTGGCTGGTATGTCGTCAAGAAAGATTTTCCCTGGGGAGTCGCTGGTACTCTCGGATCAAAAATAATGGTGCCCTGCCTCGAGACCGGCCTTGCGCACACTCTGGGGGGGGGGGGGGGGGGGGGTTATGTACTCTTGCCAATATGTATTTTGTAACCAGGGTGCATGTACATTTGAAGTGATAAACTCACTGCACATAGGCCGGTGGGACCAAGCAGTCACAGACTGATGTGAAGTACATTGTGGCGTTGTTTCTTTCTGTCGCCGGCTGTGCTAACTGCAGACGTTCTTTTCTACCGGTGTGGAGGTGCTTGGTGGCTTTTCTCGTGTCACCCAGTTCATGCGCAAGCAGCTTGGTGCTAGCCATGATGCGGGAGATTCAGTAGATGAGATGGAGGAAGTCCACGCACCGGCCGTGGACAGCATTCTCCCTAACGACACTCACAGCAGTGAGCAGTCAGTAACAGCAAGCCTTCAGCAGCAGCAAGTAGTGCTAGACAATGATAGTCCCCTTGACTCCTTGGTGCCTAGAACTACAGTTGATGATACAAGACAACAGTCGGACCTCGCCGAAAGAAGCATTGAAACCACCGCCAGCACTACTGTTGAATCATTGGCAGCAACGTCCTGTCCCCTTGGTTCTATCACTGGTGATTCGATGGCCGTGGATCTCGATGCAACACCCGTGTCCAGTGTTGACCGTGAACACTGTGCTGCTGCTGCTGCTGCTGCTGCGCCTACTGCCGCTGTCATCGTCACTGAACCGATGAGCTCCGTTGGTGGCCAGTCATCCCTTCTGCAGCAGCGACACACTAGCTCCGTAGATCAAGCTGTCGACTCGTCGTCGAGCGGCACAGAGTTTTCCGAGGACCTCTTCCAGTCAGCGCAGTGCAGTGTGGTCATGGATGAGCCGTCCGTGCGCATCCATCCCGTTGCATCCCCTGCTGACGATGGTGATGTTAACTCACTGCTCAGTTTGCAGAGCGCGGTAAGGGCTTACTCCATATTATCATAATGGTCTCTAAACCCTATTGTGATATTTTGACAATCTGACCTTAAAGGTCAGCTGCAAATGAACTACAGAAGGGATTGAATGCCGGTATTGCGGCACTCCTTTTAATAGGAAATTTTTTTAAAGCCACTAAAATGATCTGTCACTCGATTGTCGGAAATCATTTACTTGATGTAGTATGATATTTGGGAAACAGAATTAGTCATATACTTCGATTATGAAGCCTCGTTTTGCTACCAGCTAGGTGTGTACATATAGGTAGTGCACAGTGCAGTGGCCGGGTGAACAGTTCTCTCCCAGGCCTTGTCCTTGTTAGATCTGTCTTTCAAAAACCACCTGTCCTCCTTGTGTTTGTGTATCTCTGAATGTTTAGCCCGGGGCAACTTTGGTCGATTTGGACGGGTATTTCAGGCGTGAAGAGCATGTTACCATGGAAGAGTGGAAGCGTCACCTGACACCATCCGGCCATGTTCAGAACGTCGATAGGTTACGTCGTCGCATTTTCAAAGGGGTACGTCTAGTTTGTATCTCTGTCTATCTGTATGTGTATCTGAGTGTGCTTGTGGTAATCCATTGCATATTCTGCATTGCCTTCTTGTGTTGGACCGTGCTTCTCACTTCGGTCATCAATGCCAGCTACAGTAACGACTGCTTTCTTTAGGCAATTGCAATGTTCACAAGCTGGCAGACACAATACAAGGTGATGTATCAATCGGCTCTATGTGTCCACATAGAGCCGATTGATACATCACCTTGTATTGTGTCTGCCTTTGCTATCGGTTTGTCCAACCCACCTTTTGAATCTTGCTGCAGGGTATCTCTCCCGATGTCCGGCCAATCGTATGGAAATTCCTTCTAAATTACCACGATTTCAATGCCAGCAACCAGGAACGCGAGCAAGCGATTGCCATCAAGCGGTAGGTTACGCAAGTACTTGCAGTTGTGTACTGCTAAACTGACTTACGTGGTGAATAACTTTACTTAGCCTCTTTCTTTGTTCCATTCTAGTCTGATGTGATGCTCAGTTACTGCTGTGCTTGTTGCTACCATGTATCCATGTGTTCGTGCAGTCATTTCTAAAGGATTCGTTGTGTCTTGTGTGTTGTGTGGCTTTCTTCTGCACCCCACTGGGCAGTGAGCAGTACTTTGCTCTTCAGCAGCAGTGGCAGACAATGTTCCCGGCCCAGCTGAAGCGATTTACGCTGATGGAGCGTCGTCTGGAAATCATCGGTAAGTCATTGGCAATGCAGTGCAGGCACCTTGCCACATGATGGCGTTCTTTATGCAGATAAATGTATTCGAGAAGACTGGAGGAGGCGCCCAGTGTCCTCAGAGTGCTCCAATGTTGCAGCGGCAGAGCATCTTACAAACTACAACAGTGGATGGAACAAGACTGGCTTGTTGCAACACTCTGAGTAACATGCTCAGTGCTATCATCATGCAGTTTGTTGTACTGTGTTATTCAAGAAGACATATCCTCGAGTTTCTGGCCTGTGTCCTTGATATCGTGCATCATGTGTAAGTCATAATTATGGCTCTTCGTTTCCGTGTTGTGTGCTCAGATAAGGATGTGATTCGCACAGACAGGACCCACCCCAAGTACGCAGTAGCTGGTGGCCCGTATCTGAAGAGCTTGGAAAGCATTCTCCGCACCTACAGCATCTTCAATTTCGATCTGGGTAAGCGGTGGGCACTCTGTACATTGAGACAGGTACTAGGTTGGCCTCTTCAAACGTAGGCCTGAGTGACCTGCTGCTGCCTAAGCAGCACAGGTAAAAGAAGTGATAAATGTAAGTCGTCTTGCACAACAGCCGGGGGAATGTGATGATGTAGAAACAATAGAAATAGAGAAGAAGCACAAGCAACCACCCATGGCGGGATGGGTCAACAAGGCGGCAGTGTGTCAGCTTTATCGCTTTACAGTATTGGCTGTTTGGGGTTTGTACGTTTCAGTATCAATCTGTTCCCTCGGAAAAAACGCGATTCCGTGGCCGCCGCAATTTTTTGCAGAAATTGTCATCATCTGCGGAAATCACGGAATCCACACTTTTGCCCGCGGGATCTGAATTTTCGCAGGTAAATTACAAAAATTAATAAAATTCCTACTCAGAAAGCAGCAGAAAAGTTACTTTGCGATCTGTTTGAGCACATTGCTCTTGCCAGTGTTGGTGAGTGCAGGTCTCTCCAAGATTCTTCACTCCCATTCAGTTTGTGGCGGCAAAGGATAGTGTGAAAAGTATTCCTTCATGCAACGAGTTGTCATGTCCCCTACAATTACAAGGAGGGTGAGGAACTTGCAGAAAGTGCCGCAGATTTTCGATATTAAGTTACTGCAAAAAATGCCGCAGAATAACCCTCTTTTCCCCGCGGAATTTGCCGCGGAATTCAGAATTCTTGTCCGCGTTTTTACAAAGGGACAGGTCAATCCCTGACTCGCCCATTACGGTCAGGGGCTACCGAGCAATTGCACTAGTATTGCCTTTGCTCTACTCGCTGGTATCACTTGCCTATAGTGAAGATCCCAGGTTCGAGTCCTGGTGGTGACAGTCTGATTTTTCTTCAGACTTTTTCCCTTTTCATTCCCGCCAACTAATTGTGTATACCTGGCTTTTGCGCGGTGTGTGTTTAAAATTAACCTGCCTTGTTTGTCGGTGCTCCCCTTCTGTTGTCTGATGACATCTGATTGCAGGCTACGTGCAGGGTATGAGTGACTTGCTGTCTCCGATTCTGGCTGTGATGGATGATGAGGTGGATTCATTCTGGTGCTTCTCTGGACTCATGGACACTGTGGTAAGTATTTTTTTTGAAAGCCCTCCACCGTGAGGTCGCAACCTCGTAATTGTCGCTCTTCAAGGCCTTTAGTAGTCGAACGGCACTCCCGTTTCGTTCTTTCTTTGTCCATGTAGCAATCGTAAAGTGTGAAGAATCTAGCAGCAATTAGCATGACAGTGCATTTCACTGCGGGCCGTTCACATGACTGGCTTCCTTCAGCTTTGACCGTTGG